CCCCAAAACCCCAAAACCCCAAAACCCCAAAACCCCTAGGCACAAGAGTTAAATAGGAAATCCAAAAATCTTATTTTAAATTGGGAAAAGATGATAAGGGCTTTCAGAAGGAGTTTTAGTCAGAAAAATCAGCTTAAAGAGCTGGCTTATGTTAATGGAGTGTCAGACACTCCTTTACTTGCGGCTACTATTAGTCAGAGACTACGTACCCAGGCATTAAAGTATGCTAAGAATCCATTTCAAGTTTTCTACCAACATGGAGTCAGCTATACTTATGAAGAGTTTGATCAGAGAGTTGACGAAATAGCTTGTGGACTCATTGCTTTAGGACTTGAGAAAGGAGACAGAATCGGAATGTACTCACCTAATCGTCCTGAATGGTCTTTAATTCAATATGCAGCAGCTAGAGCAGATTTGATCCTTGTAAATGTCAATCCTGCATTCCAAACTGATGACTTGAAGTACGCTTTGAATCTTGCAAACATTAAGGTGTTGGTGATGCCAGAGCAATTTAGCAAAAGCCATTATGTTGACATTGTGAGGCACTTAATTCCTGATCATGCTACAAGTAAATCTACTACTATTAGCAGTTCGATGGTCCCCGACCTACGCCACGTAATCGTATGAGATCATAAAAGGCATAAAGGGATGATAAATTTCGATGAATTGTATTCCAATTACTCTAGAAGAGATAGAAAGGAAATGGAAAAGAGAGAAAGAGAGTGCGATTTTGAGGCTGCAACCAATATCCAATTTACTTCTGGTACGACTGGATACCCTAAGGGAGCAACTCTGACTCATCACAACATCTTAAATAATTCATTCATGTTAGGAGGATATATGGGCTATGACTCTGAAACTAAAATATGACTTCCAGTACCTTTGTACCATTGCTTCGGTATGGTCATGGGAAGTCTTGGTGCTCTGAACTATGGCTCAACTGCTGTTTATCCTTGTGAAGGGTTCAACCCAGAGATGTCGCTCAAAGCAATTTCAGATTTAGGCTGTCATGTTGTATACGGAGTTCCAATTATGTTTAGCCAGACCCATCACGAATATGTCCAGAATAGGGACAAATATAATTTGGAGACTCTTAATCGAGGAGTCATGGCTGGATCCATCTGCCCTTCAGAACTTATGAAGAAATGCAACAAAGATCTCGGAATTGAGTATCTCTCCATTGCTTATGGAATGACTGAGACTTCACCAGTGAGTTTCCAGACGAAGAGGTCAGATCCATTCGAGAAGCAGGTTGGCACAGTCGGCCAGGTCCATCCCCATGCTGAAGTCAAGATTATAGATGAAGATGGTAAGACTCTCATGAGAGGAGAGAAAGGTGAAATTTGTACTAGAGGATACTGTGTTATGGAAGGCTATTTCAATGACCCAGATAAAACTGCTGAGTGCATTAATGATAAGGGATGGATGATCACTGGAGATCAAGGAATATTAGATGATGAAGGATATCTTCAGATCGTTGGAAGAGTCAAGGATATGATCATTAGAGGAGGAGAGAATATCTTCCCTGCAGAGATAGAAAACTACCTCCTGAAGCATCCTAATATAATAGATGCACAGGTTATAGCAGTTAAGGATGAGAAAATGGGAGAAGAAATTATGGCTTGAGTCATCCTTCAAGATCCTATAGAGCCTTTGAGCCATACTGATATTTATGAATTCATGCATGGCCACGTTGCTCACTATAAGATTCCTAAATATATTAGACATGTAAAGGAGTACCCTCTTACAGTGACAGGGAAGGTCAAGAAGAATGAGATGAGAGATGAAAATAACAAGATCCTATCTGAGGTACATCCAGATGATTGGGAGTACGATTTCAACATCTTTGTCTAAATTTAAAACAGTTTACCCAAAAATCAATTAGGCTCATACCTTTTGGGGTTTTGGGGTTTTGGGGTTTTGGGGTTTTGGGG